TATGGGAGAACACATTGGAGAGACCCCTTCGAGACCTCAGATCTCTAGGAGCCAAAATGAGAGAAAGAGAATAAACTTTGAAGTAAGACAGAGGAGCTGGGATCCTGCTTACAAGCTGTATTAGACTTGGCCTCCTTATTCTTCTTCTATAAGCCCTTTTTTCTCATTGTACACTGGCGACAATGTAACTAACTCACAGGATCTCATGTGAGATCAAGAGTTACAACCCATAAAGTGTTTACAACAGTGCCTGGTACTTAGCAAGTGCTCAGTAAAGGTTGCAGTTGATATTAGCAGTAGCAGCAATAGCATATAAGCCACTAGTTCAACAGGAGATTGAAAGCAGGGGCTGATACCCCATGGGTTTTCAGTCAAATCAGAATCTTGATGTCACTTCTGTGATGATGTTGCACTCTTTTCTTTCCTTCTGAACTGCATTCCCCCAGCCTCACACAAACAGCCCTTTGATTATCAAAAACCCCAGGTTTATACTTCTCCACAAAGCTTTTCCTAACCCCCTAGCTGGAAAGATTTCTGGTCATTGATCATACACTGCCTTGCACAAAAGATGCCACCACGTTCCTATAATTTACTTCCTTGCCAATTAGTTGGTCTTTGACTAAGTATGCTCCTTCTGGGAAGTTCAGCTGCTATCACTGTTTTATCTAGGAAAGCCTGATGCCTTGTGTAGGTTTTACCACTTGAGGTTGCTACTCAAATAGATGCAAATTTACATCTCTAACTCAAACTGAAGCATGCCTCTTTTTCCCCATGATTGAGCTAAGCTGCTAAACATAAATCATCACAGCAATAATCAGCTCTTTCACTCCCAAAGCTGAAGAAGGAAAAAGCCAGCAATTTCTCATGTGTAATATATGTCCACCCTCTCACCTGGTGTTTTATAAACATACTGTCTTAGCTGTCTTCTAAGTATCTGTGCCTGGGAGGGTGCCTTCCTCTGTTTTGTAAAATGCCAAGTGATACCACTGTGATATATAAATAATGATAATTAGAAGACAGCCTCAAATTATTTGACATTCAGATTGAAGGGAAAAGTAGTACTTTTTTTTTTGTAGTAACCTAGAACTTGGATCAGAAATGGCATTCAAAATAAAAGCATATTGGTTCCTGTCAGACAGGGATAGTTCAGACCTTCTCATATCTGAAGTCAGATATCACGAGATGGAATCGTGGGCCAAGTACACAGCCTCAGATCTGGGCCCAGGCTATAAATAACCATAATCTCTAGCCATGATACATTTGAAAATATCAGGACTAATAGGAGCTAAAGGAGAGAGAAGTCATGTTTTACCTGAAACTCCAGAAAAGTATTTAATAATCATTAACTCGGCATCACTTCCCAACCACTGGCCTCTGTATTTTGTAAAATATCCAAATACCAGTGTTTCTAGAATTTGGCTTGTCTTGACCCTGCCTGCCTTAAATTTTCAAGGAATTCTTCCTTTGTCACAGTTCCTGATGGTGAATCTGAGATCATTTGTTTGCTTGGTGGAAGGAATATCAGACCAAGAATCAGAAAGACAGGATGACAGGATATGATTTCCAACCCTGCCACTATTTTTTTTTTTTTTTTTTTTTTTTGAAATGGAGTCTTGTCTCTGTCACCCAGGCTGGAGTACAGTGGCTCGATCTCAGCCCACTGCAATCTCCACCTCCCAGGTTCAGGTGATTCTCTTGTCCCAGCCTTCCAGGTAACTGAAATTACAGTCATGCACCACCACGCCAGGCTAATTTTTATATTTTTAGTAGAGATAGGTTTCACCATGTTGGTCAGGCTGGTCTCCAACTCCTGACCCTGCTTTTGCTGACCCTGCCTTTGATTATGCTGTTCTTACACTTGGTATTCTTCCCTATCATCTTTCTGTTTATTAAAATTACACCAATTTTTCCAGGCCTAGGTAAAATATCCTCCTCAAAGCCTTTCCTTATCCTTCTTAGATAAAGAAAATGACCGGAAGAAAGAAGGGCATTTCTTCCTATCTTGTCTAGAGTTTGTGCCTGGCATCTGGGATCTCCTGCCTTTCACTGTATTATTTATCACCATCTTCATCAGTGCTGTAACCCCTTACCTTTCTGTAGGTCTTGATACGCTCACAAGACACTTTCACACAGATTGTGTCATTTGCTCTTACGCAGAAGCTTATAAGCAAGGAAGGAAATTTACTCCCATTTCTACAGATCAGTATTTCTTGAACACCTACTATGTGCCGGGATTTGTGCTAGGTGCTAAAGTTAGAAATGGTGGTATCTCCAGAAGCTTGATTATCCCGCATTTTCTTTCTTTTCTTTCTTTTTTTTTTTTTTTTTTTTTTTGAGATGGAGTTTTGCTCTTGTTACCCAGGCTGGAGTGCAATGGCACAATCTCGGCTTACTGCAACCTCCGTCTCCTGGGTTCAGGCAATTCTCCTGCCTCAGCCTCCTGACTAGCTGGGATTACAGGCACACGCCACCATGCCCAGCTGATTTTTTGTATTTTTAGTAGCGACAGAGTTTCACCATGTTGACCAGGATGGTCTTGATCTCTTGACCTCATGATCCACCCACCTCGGCCTCCCAAAGTGCTTGGGATAAAGCCTCCCAAAGCCACCGTTGTTTTATTGTTGTTGTTGTTGTTGTTGTTTTTTATGGAGTCTCACTCTGTTGCCTAGTCTGGAGTGCAGTGGCATGATTTTGGCTCATTGCAACCTCTGACTCCTTGGTTTAGGCTGTTCGCATGCCTCAGCCTCCCAAGTAACTGAGATTACAAGAGCACGCCACAACTCCCAGCTAAGAGTGTGTGTGTGTGTGTGTGTGTGTGTGTGTATTAGAGATGGGGTTTCACGATGTTGTCCAGGCTGGTCTTGAACTCCTGACCTCAAGTGATCTGCCCACCTCGGCCTCCCAAAGTGCTGGGATTACAGGCGTGAGCCACTGCACCCAGCCTATCCCACTTTTACAAGCATAGGAATTGAAACCTAGGCCAGGCGCAGTGGCTCACACCTGTAATTCCAGCACTTTGGGAGGCTGAGGTGGGTGGATCACTTGAGGCCAGGAATTCAAGACCAGCCTGGACAACATGGTGAAACTCCGTATCTAATAAAAATAGAAAAATCATCCAGGCATGATGGCACATACCTGTAATCCCAGCTACTCAGGAGGCTGAGACATAAGAACGCTTGAACCCAGGTGTTGGAGGTTGCAGTGAGCTGAGATTGCACCACTGCACTCTAGCCTGGGTGACAGAGTGAGACTTTGTCTCAAAAAAAAAAAAAGCCCTAATAAAAGCGGCCAACAGTCCCACTGAACATCTATTTTAGTCCCTGGGACTTGCCAGGCTCTTTGCCACTTCTGGGCCTTTGCAGATGCTGTTCCCTCCACCTGCAACATAATTATTTCCACTCCTACTGACCAAACTCTACTCATCTTTCAAAGTTTAGTAAAAGTGTTGCCTTCTTTAGGGAGGCTTCCACTGATCACCCCCTCCTGTCAAGTCTGAAATAGGCCTGCTAGTCTCTTATGACACTCCTTTCATTTTCCTCACAGCACTTAGCACAAATAGTAGTTTTTAATTTTACTTTTATAGGTGTATTTGATATCCCGCCACCATGAGGACAAGGATATTGATTTTGTCTGTTTTGAGATGAAGTTTCGCTCTTGTTGCTAGGCTGGAGAGCAATGGCGCGATCTTGGCTTACTGCAACTTCCACCTCTTGGGTTTAAGTGATTTTCCTGCCTCAGCTTCCTGAGTAGCTGGGTTTACAGGCGCCTGGCTAATTTTGTATTTTTGGTAGAGACGGAGTTTCTTCATGTTGGTCAGGCTGGTCTTAAACTCCTGACCTCAGGTGATCCGCCCGCCTCGGCCTCCCAAAGTGCTAGGATTATAGGTGTTAGCCACCACACCCAGCAGATACTGATGTTTATATTAACTCCTGTACACTCAGTGCCTGGCACCATGCCTGACCCGGAAGAGGGACTCGAGAAATAAAGCGTTGAATGAATGAATGTGCGGACATCAGCCATTCAGGCAGCTTAGTAAATGCCAGAGGAAGGGCTAGAACCCAGATTGTCTGAAGCCCTAGTTAAGACGGACCTCACCGTGTCCTCTGACACCGCTCATGACTAGCCTCCACTTACTAAGTTGCACAGTTATAGGGACTAAGAACCTCAGTCTTTGTTCTTTATGGGTTCCTAAGACATCAGCACTGTTGGGTATGTTCATATTGAGGATTCGAAGGGTGGATATGTGTGTGGATTGGTGGACAGAAGGAATGAGAGGCAAACGGACAAGCAGAATGCCAGGATCAGGAAGGGGCAGGAGGTGGTCAATGTATGGACTCGTGAGGGGTTACACTGGTCATGTGGTCAGCACCTGCGCTGCGGCAGGCCCTGTGTTGGAAGGAAGTGGCAGTGTGAACATCAGCCTAGATATAGAACCTCCACTTCCCCCCTGATTAAGATCTAAAATTAATACCCTATTCTAGAGTTCTTGGAATAAACCTTCCATTTTGATAGGTCTTAAAGAATTTTCATTTTTATACTTCTGTCACATATTGGAACACTTTCATTATACATGAAAGCAGCTTTTATTTCTTCTTACTCCAGGCAGCCTGTTACTATAGCAATGTTGGAAGTATTTTGAGGTATTTTTATACAGTGAGTTCTACAAACTCCCTGCAAACTGTACATAATGTTTGGTTGAAATGGGCTATCATAGCCAAAATTGTCTCTCTTGTTTCTTTGTATCCTTTGTTAAACTTTTGCAAACTTTGCTATAACTTCATTCCCGAAAATGAAAGCTCTTATGTTTAGAAAAGAAAATAATCTGGGGGAGGGTTGTAAATATATTTGCCTGTAAAGATTGAAAATAGCTCTGAAAGAATTTTTTAAATTTTATTTGGGTACCATAAAGATATGATTGCTTCTTGGGGTCTCCTGGGTGGCTTTTTTTTTTAACCAAGAAAATGGGTGCAATCATAGCTTTCCTCTGTGTGTATCTGCAGGGTCTAGACAGTTTCAAAGTAAAACAGAAGTTCTTCGCTGGCAGCCAGGAGCCAATGCCATTTCCTGTGCCATATGATTTGCCTCCAGAACTGTATGGAAGTAAAGGTGAGACGCAGATGAAGGAAAACCATGGGTGGATATGCATAAGAAAAACAAACAGAGCCCAGGAGAAGCCTTTGGTCTCGGTGGGATCCTGGTTTATGGAACCCTCTGGAAGCTCAGGTTTGAAGAGGGCCCTTTGCCACCCTGTCTGGGGCCATGTAACCACTGGTTGGTCTTAGAATCCCTTTGCACTCCTATAATTACTATGCAGATCCTTCCTGACTTACAGTGGGGCTACATGATGATAAGCCCCTCATAAATTGAAAATATCCTAAGTCAAAAATGCATTTAATGCACCAAAGCTACTGAACATCATAGCTTAGCCTAGCCTACCTTAAACGTGCCCAAACCACTTAAATTAATCTACACTTGGGCAAAATAATCTAATACAAAGACTGTTTTATAATAAGTTGTTGACTATCTCATGGAATTTATTGAAGACTCTACTAAAGTACTGCTTCTATTGAATGCATACCACTTTGACACCATCGTAAAGGTCAAAAAACCTTAGAAATTAAAACCAAGAAATGTAACAGTAATAAACCTGTTGTAACTTACATTTATGCCAGGCACAGTGGCCCACACCTGTAATCTCAGCACCTTGGGAGGCCAAGGTGGGAATATTGCTTGAGGCCAGGAGTTCAAGACCACCTTGCCCAACATAGCGAGACCCAGTATGTAAAAAAAAAAAAAAAATGTTTTAAATGGCTGGGTATGGTGGATTGTGCCTTTAGTCCCAACTGCTTGAATGGCTGAGGCAGAAAAATCGCTTAAGCCTAGGAGTTTGAGGTTGCAGTGAGCTATGATCAAGCCCCTGTACTCCAGCCTGAGTGACAGACCTGAGACCCCAGCCTCACAGGCTACTCTGCTGCTTTTATCAGCCCTGAGAATATCTGTCTTTAAGGTGGGTCCACACTTAGCAAACTCATACAGGATGAGGTATATAATCAAGACACACTTAATTTAAATGGCAAATTATATCATCAATCAGTATATTCTCCACTGGAAGGGAGAAACCTACATGAGTAGCCAAATTATAATGTACAGGTTTCTGAGCCAGTGTTAAATCTGAATAGAGAAAATACTTTTTTTTTTAATTGGCAGATTTTAATGCCATCATTCATTGATACCCCAAAATCTCTTACCAAGCTCAGCCTTGCCCAGTAGTTTCCTTTGTTCCCTCAACAGTGTTTCACGGGACTAACAACTTCCCCACCCACTAATCCTTCTCAGCTTTCATAGTGAACCAAGCCTCCTTCGTCAGATGGGCCCATTTCTTGGATGTGCTGCCACATCTAACAAAGTTAATGCTATCTCATGCTGTTCAGTGTGCCAACCTGCCTCTTGCTGATGACTTTGTATTTCTCTAATCAATAGTTTGACACTAAGTTTAAGGAGGCATTCTTTTTCTTGTTTCTAAAGCGTGAAAGTCCTTTATGCCTCTCTGTTGAGTCCTCTAAATTTCTTGCATATGCATGTATATTTCGTTTTCTGTGGCAAGGTTATATAGATTTTTATCAGAATTTAAAGGAGTCGGTCAGCACCTTACTGGCCACCAAAAAAAAAAGGCAGGAAAACCCTTTTTAAAATCAGGCCATGTTTATGTGCCAACTCCATAACTTACTAAATAGACTTGGGCATTTAGTTACTTTCTCCAGGTTTTAGTGTCTCTGTCTACACAGTGAGGAACCATGAGTAAGTACCTATTTTATAGGGTTTTTGAAAAGATTAACTGGGATTATCTACAAAGTACTTATCTCAGAGTTAGCAATCAATAAATATTAGCTGCTTTTATCATAATTGTTGTTGTTAAAATGCATACTTCAGTGCCTGGCAGTAATAGATGTTGAATTAGTGTGAATTCCCTCCCCTTTTCCTTGGTGAGCTCATGATTTTTAAAAATCTAAAGCTCGTGCAAGTTTGTCCCTAAACCTGTGTATCTCTTCTTCCCTCTTTCGGCTCTGTGTTACACTTTTGTCTTTTCTCTCTTTCTCTGTTCTTCAGATTCCTTTTCTTCCTTTTTTTAAAAAAAAAAAAAAAAAAAAAAAAAACCAAGTCCTCCTCCTCCCTGTAAGAAGTGGGGACTGACTGTGATTAGGCTGTATCTGCTGGGGTCTGGCCTTGGGCCTGCACTTCCCACTCCCACCTCTGCACGCTGGCTGGATTCCACCCTCTTTATTTCTTTAGTCCTAATCTTCAAAGGACTAAGAAAGCAAAAATGGAAGCTCTAGAAGACTCTTAAAAATGTCTCAAGGTCCCTTTCCTTCCAGTAAAGTAAGCACTCCCAAGAACTTAGAAGTTAATAAGCAGGTATCGTATCTTAAATGGTGGAATGATAAATCTTTCATTTGGCCGGCAAGCAGAATGCTTTATAATGTTTAAATGGATTTTTTTTCCTTCAGCATTTCTTTTGAAAGATACTTATAATCTGAGGGTATGCTTAAGCTAACATAATCATAATAAATTTTTTTAAGAAAAGATACAGCTGGGCATGGTGGCTCACATCTATAATCCCAGTACTTTGGGAGACCAAGGCAGGCAGATCACCTGAGGTCAGGAGTTCAAGGCCAACCTCGCCAACATGGTGAAACTCTATCTCTACTAAAAATACAAAAATTAGCTGGGCATAGTGGCACATGTTTGTAGTCCCAGCTACTCGGGAGGCTGAGGCAGGAAGAATCGCTTGAACCCGGGAGGCGGAGGTTGCAGTGAGCCGAGATTGCGCCACTGCACTCTAGCCTGGGCAACAGAGCGAGACTCCATCTCAAAAAATAAATAATAAAGATACATACAAGAGACTGGAGCATTTTCTTTCATATTGGTACTACTTTGTCCTCTACACTGCCTCAGTTGCATGTAGGGTAATGCTGGTAATTCAGTATCACCAGTTCATATGTAACCAGCATTCCTGGGGAGCCACATGGACTATAGAAAGACATTTACCAAGATTGAGAAAAGTCAGTGGTTAAGAACATTTGAAAAGCACTTCATTTTCAGAGAAGTGATTTTCAAGCCATTGTAACACCTCTGAGATCTTGTTTTGTGTTTTTTAAAGTCAGAAGACTGTACAAAAAGCTTAGCAAAGGAATATACTGCTATGAATGAAGTAAAGCTCAATGCAAGAGGCTGCCAGATATCTTGAAACCAAGAAAATGATCAAAGTAAAGCAAAAGCCAAGACTGAGCTACCAGTATACCTTGCTTTGTGTAGTAGTTGCTGTTTATTCATTCTTTCCACAGATCTATATTGATAGCCCACCGTGTGCAGACACCATCTAGGTACTTGGAATATGTTGGCAAACAAGACAGGCACAAATCCTTACTCATCACACTTATGTTTCCCTTCTCCTGAAAAATCATACTTAACTAAACCCATTTTACTAATAGTAAATTTAAAAGAGGCCTTCCCCGCCCCCTCTTTTGCTTTTTAAAGAAGGGCTTGCTCTGTCACTTAGGCTGGAGTGCAGTGGCATGGTCTCAGCTTACTGCAGCCTCAAACTCCTGGGCTCAAGTAATACTCCTACCTCAGCCTCCTAAGTGCATGCCATCATGCCCAGCTAAATTTTTTTTAAATGCTTTGTAGAGATGGGGTCTCACTGTGTTGCCCAGGCTGGTCTTGAATTCCTGAGCTCAAGTAGTCCTCCTGCCTCAGCCTTCCAGAGTGTTGAGATTACAGGTGTGAGCCACCATACCTGGCCCAAAGAAGGCTTTTATAAAGCAAAATCACCTTTCTGTTAGTAAATCTAACACAGATTATTTCCATATGTTCCACTTGCTGTGTGACCCTGATTTGGAAGAGGAAGTAAAATAGATCAGTGTGTAATCTTAACCTTTGTTCCAAGGGCATCTGCTTTGCACTCCCTTCTTAGCTTATATTCACTTTGTTATCTTACATGCTATTGAGAGAGTAAAGGGTGAGAAAGAGATGAGCTAAGGGTGAAGTAAAGACTCTCTTACTTGAATTTAATAAATCATATGAATCCCTGAAGAAGTAACTGAACATGAAAAGCTTCAGAGGTGTTATAGTCTATTAAGGTTGTTTCATTTTTTTAATTTTATTTTTAAAAAATACAGGTGGAGTACTTAGATAGTATTTTTTTCTTTTAAAATTTTGACGTAATTCCAAATTTATAGAAAAGTTACAAGAAGAATACAAAGAATTCACATATATTCTTTACCCAGGTTCCCCAAATGTCAATATTTTATCACATTTACGTCCTCTCTCATATTAACTTATCTTTTTGAGAGAAAGTAGCAAATGTGATGTCCTTTTATCCCTAAATACTTCATTGTATATTTTCTAAAGAGACAGGCATTCTCTTACATAACTACAGTACACTGATCAATATAAGCAATTAACATTGATTCAAAACTGTATTCAGATTTCATCAGTTTCCTCAGTAATGTTCTTTATAGCAAAAGAGAAAGTTCATGAATTGAGTTGTCATGTCTCTTTCGTCTCCATTAATTTGGAACAGTTCCACAGTTTTTTGTTTCGTGACATTGACACATTGCATAGCATGGACCAGTTACTTTATAAACTGTGAGGAACATTCTACTTTGGGTTTTCTACTCACTGTTTCTTTATAATTAAACCCAGTTATGCACTTTTACCAAGAATACGAAAGAAGTAATGTGTTCTTCCTGGTGCATCGTATCAGGAAGCCCATCCTATTGATGTATCCAATGTTAACTGATTGATTGGTTAAGTTGGTGTCTCCTAGGTTGTACATAATCATTGACAAGTATATATTTCAATTTTTTAAAAAATATTTAAGTGGCTGAAACTAAACTAATAAGCTGCAAATGTAGTTGTTTAATAGAAGAGGTCCTTAAAAGCTGGTTGGCACATAAGTTATGCATAATGTAGATTTAACACATACATAATACACATAATCATCCAAAAGATTTTAAAACCATTGGTTCCTAAATGGTCTAACCATTCTTCTACTGTCTTATTAATTTTAAATAGCTCCCTGCATTCAGATAATAGCAAAATAAACATCAGTCTAAACCTTTTATAGTTATTGCTAGAGTCCAAAATCATAAAGTATTTTTCTAAGGGAAACAAAGTTGATTGGATTATCCTTTCCAAATAAAATGCACAGAAGGTGTATTGCTGTAAGCTGTTGGTGTGGCTGGGTATGGTGGCTCACACCTGTAATCCCAGCACTTTGGGAGGTAGAGGTGGGCAGATCACTTGAGGTCAGGAATTCAAGACCAGCTTGACCAACATGGTGAAATCCTGTCTCTACTAAAAATAAAAAAATTAGCTGGGTGTGGTGGGATGTGCCTATAATCCCAACTACTTGGAAGGCTGAGACAGGAGAATCACTTGAACCCAGTAGGTGGAGGTTGCAGTGAGCTGAGATCGTGCCACTGCACTTCCGTGTGGGTGATAGAGCAAGATTCTGTCTAAAAACAAAAAGCAAAACTGTTGGTATGTTTTATTTTTAAGGACCTGTTTTTGAAAGAGCTTCAGAAATTAAGCTTTTTTTAAGATGAAGTAGCCAAAATCATTTTTAGAATGATTTTAGCCATCTCCTTTAATAAAATCTATTTTTGTTTCGTAGCACAAACAGAAGGCTGAAAGTAAACTATGAGTTCAGCTTTTAAAATTACTTTGTAATCAGGAAGCTTAAATCAGAATTAAAATTGATTGTTTTGAAATAAATAAGTACTGAATTTTCAGCAAGTCGAATTCATCAGTTAGATGGTTGTGTTCTGCTCTATACAGTCACACATTAACATGTGCAGTTCACAGAGAAAGGTGTTAATGGGTTTTAGATAATACTGATACTGCAATTACAAATAATTGCATTTCTACTAACTTGGTAAATCGGTGCAAAACACTTCAGAGCTCTCTTTGGCATTTCTAGCTGGCATATGTTGTACATTCCTTAATTTCAGAGTAGGCTAATGTAAAATGGCATTGGAACTTTTAGGATAATTGGTTCACATCTTTGGCATTCCACCCCGCCCTCACACCCCACTTTGCTTATTCCTGGTATAAGAATTAAAAGTGACTGTTCAGGTGACAAATAGTGGCATCTGGAGGTCGTACATCAAGTTTCGCATAGAGATGACAGTGAAAGATGTATGTGTGGGTGTTTGGGCCTCGGGGTGAGAGCAGAGTCATAAGTCCTTAACCCATGGCTATTTCTTAGGGGGTTGGAGGAAAGACCTTATTACCTGGCTAAACAGGATTTCGTACTTTACTTGGATTTATCTGATTATTCAAAAAAAAAAAAAAATTCTTTAAGACCTACGTAGTACATAGGATGATAGTCCTTATCCTCTGAGTTGAGGGAGGTGAGCAATTGCAGTAGCAGCTAGCATTCATTAAGTACTTTTATGTACCAGGAACTGATATGAGCACTTGACATGAATTAATTCATTGTATCCTCACAACCCCATGATGCAAGTATAGTAGTACAACCCCCAGTTTCCAGATAAGGAATCTAGGACACTCAGAGTAAGTTGGTCAGGGCCCCACTGGCAGTCTGGCTCAGTGCCCATACCCCCTTTCCTGTTACACCGTACTACCTCCCTGTGGACATCTAAGTTCTAGAGTTAACAGAGAGGCAGAAGAGGCACACGGTATGACCACAGGGAGGGATGGGACAGAGACTATGTACATAAAGAGATCAAAACCCCATAGGCTGTCGTTTTCATCCTTCCAGCCATGGTCTTAATGTAGACCTCCTCCTTTCTCACCCAGCCTTACTTACTTGTTCATCTTCCCAGTTCTGGTCTCCTCCCACTGGAAGCCATCCTCTATAGTGCTACCATGCACATCTGGTCATGACCCTCCCTTCTTTTAAATTCTTCCACTATAGTCCCGAAAAAAGACAGCTTCCCGTCCGCCTTAGCCTTGAGTCCCAAACTCTGACTGCATCACGATCATCTGTAGAATTTGATAAAAATGCATATTGCCAGGCCACAACCAGACCTACTGAAACAAGATCTCTGTGCATGTATCCTTGGAAAATGTACCCTAACAGGTTGCCCAGTATTTCTCATGTTAGCCAGGTTAGGGGACTGTAGTACAGAAATGAAAAAGGTCAGAACTTCACCTCCATGGCATGCCTGTTTGTCTGTCTGCCCCACTGGACTAGAATCCCTGTGAGGTTTTATGCCTGATTTATTCTCCTCTCTATCCATAGCACCTAGCAAATCTCTGGCATCTAGCCAGCATGTAACAAATGTTTTGAATACATGCATGAATTATTACAAGGCAAGTTGTTCTGCCATGGGACAATTTAGGAGGATTGCTTAAACCAGGTTTTCCTCTCAGCCAGTGAGTATTAATGCTGATTTCCAGGAGTGATGAGTAACCATATTATAGTTATTTTGAAATAGTTTGACTCTAGCAGTGGCAATGTGTAGTGAAAGTGATTTGTTGAAATGTTTTCAATTTCTGAAACATAAATGAAGGAAAAGTTCACATTTATTGAGCACCTACAACAGGAGCTTTCACAGATGTTCTCTCATTTGTGCTCCACAGTAATCCCTGGCAGTTGCTAATGTAATTCCCATTTCATAGAGGAGGAACTTGATGCCATAACCCACATGCCTTCCCTAGGGTACTAAGAGGGACAGAAGTGGGATTTGACATGGTCCTTGGTATTCTTTCCATTGTACTATACCCAGGCATGTTGCTTTCTTCAGCATTGGTCTACAGTTATTTATACAGAGATCTTCATGTTTCATCAATTATTAACCCTTAACAATAGAACAGAAACATTTCATGAATTTGACTCTGGGCCTCTTGGTTACATGTCACCAGCTAAGAGCAGCACCTGTGGCTGTACCAACTATTACTGTTGCTTTCTTCAGCTTCCTAAAAGAAAAAGGGAATTGCTGCCCTTTGTTAGGCCTTTTCTGTCTGCTAGATACAATATCTTACATGCTATGTGGATTTTTCTCACTTAATCCTCGTGACAGCTCCACAACATAGGTACAGGTAAGGAACCTGGGGTTCTGGTTAAAGTGACTTGCCAGTCTGACACAGCTATTAAGTGGCAGCACTAGGTTCGCCCCTGCATCTCTGCCTGCCTCTCTGTATTAGTCTGTCCTCATGCTGCTAATAAAGACATACCTGAGACTGGGTAACTTAACAAAAGAAAGAAGTTTAATTGACTCACAGTTCCACATGGCTGGGGAGACCTCACAATCATAGTAGAAGGTGAAAGGGAAGCAAGACACATCTTACATGGCAGCAGGCAAGAGAGAGCTTGTGTAGGGGAATTCCCCTTTATAAAGCAATCAGATCTTGTGAGACTTGTTCACTATCATGAGAACCGCATAGGAAAGCTCCACCCCCATGATTCAGTTACCTCCCATCGAGTCCCTCCCATGACAAGTGGGAATTATTAGAGCTGCAATTCAAGATGAGATTCGGGTGGGGACACAGCCAAACCATATCATTCCCCATATTCATTCACCTTGGTGTCCTAATAGGAACCTTTGCCAAAAGCTGTTGTCTGAAGGGGGAGAATCGTCTGGGCTTGGTTCAGAAACTATTCTATCACAGTTTAGAGTCAAGCACGTAAGTGCTTTTATACCATCAGGTGAGTTGCCTTTTCTATCATCCTATTCAAATAAATATATACTGTGTTTTTCCCCCAGATCGGCCATGGATATGGAACATTCCTTATGTCAAAGCACCGGACACACATGGGAACATGTGGGTGCCCTCCTGAGAATCCTGAGGCACTGTTTTAAGTGTAAGACATTGAGCCCCAAACATGGAATCTCTTACTTGTACTGGATGTTCACTTCCCTTAAAGTATTATTTGCACCCCTATAAAATCTTGGCAAAGGTCACTCTTATAAATGGCTGTTGGTTATGTTTTTAATGGACATTAACATTCTCTCTAAAATAAAGTTATTTTCTTAATTCATTTTTTATATGTTTTGGGAAGGAAACTAGGGACCTTCTCAATGTTAGCAATATATACTGATTCAGTATCCCCTCTCTGAAGTGCTTGGGACCAGACGTGTTTCAGATTTTGGATTTTTTTTGAATTTTGGAATATTTGCATATGCATAATGAGATATCTTGGGGATGAGACCCAAGTCCAAACACAAAATTCATTTATGTTTCATATACACCTTATATACAGTAACGTAAAGGTGATTTTTTATGATATTTTAAGTAATTTTATTCATGAAACAAAGTTTTGACAGCCCTTTGACTGACCTGAGGTCAGGTATGGAAGTTTTCATTTGGGGCATCATATCAGCACTCAGAAAGTTTTGAATCTTGGAGCATTTCAGATTTTCAGATTAGGGATATTCAACCTGTATAGATATAAAATTCTCCTCACAGTGTCATAGAATCTCTTGGTGCTGTCAGCTGTTGGGAATGGAAGATTGACTTTCTGCTTCCACTCTCCGTCCAGAAAAGCACCCCTCATTCCACCAGAACTTTTCCCAGGAAGAACGCGATGGTTTCCTTTTCACCTGTGCCCTCTCTCCGCTTTCTGAGTATGTCTCATGGGGTTGCTGGATGTGATCTGTATCTGAGGCCAAGGTGCTGTTTCAGCCCCCTGCAACCAAGAATTGTATTGATTGTCCTCACGGCAGGTTTTCATAGCTTTCAGCCTCACCTTTACAAGGCTTTTCCTCCCTCCCGGGCACCCTGCTGCCTGCCTCATTGCTTACAGACAGGCCCCCACAGGACCCAAATGCCTGCCCAGAGTAAATGAGTATCTCTTCTATCCCCAGAAATTTCCAGAGAAAACAGCTCATGGAATTATATAAAAGCACACAAAGATTTTGGGGAAAATCCTAAAAGGTGACTTAATGTGGTGCCTTAAATTCCCAAGTAAGGAAAGTAAGGCCTAGAAGGTTAAGGATATCCCCAGGGTCACACAGCTAGCTGGGCTCTGAGCTGTGAGTGTCTTTGTGTTTTGTGTGCATTGTGTTCTCTCCCCAAAGGGTGCTTTAGATCCTGTTTGTTTTCTTCTGCATGAGGCTGATTTCCAGTTTGTCGTCAACCTATTTATCTTATAACTTAGGATATAGTTAAATGTTAGTCTTGAAAGATTTCCTAAAGTCATCTTTCAAACTGTTCCTCAGAGGCCTAGGATTTTCCAAAAGTACCTTAGAAACCTTGTAGGCTGCGGTGGGGGTGTGGCGATAAAGGAGGAGGCAGGGAGACAGGGCTGCAGGGCCTCCCACCTTGTAGCAGATAAGCTCTGCTTCATCTATTTTACATATTGGGATTCTTTAAAGGATCTCTTCTGGGGTTTTGAGTGTATTTGTATGTGTTCTGCTTTTTTAAAATAAACTTGAAAAGGTACAGAATTAATTAAACCAATTTATTTTGCAGTTAAGAAAACTAAGGCTTCAGCCTTTTCTGATGCTACCCTCGATGTACGAAAACATTCAAACCTGACATCAGATGAGCCCAACAGCCAAGAAAGGAAACACGGAGAGCCCGGGGGCTGGTAGTGGAAGCTGACATCATAGTGGGCTGGCCTAGCAGTTTAATCCGAGTGTCCAAAGGACTATGGCAAAGATTGTAATTCTCACCATGCACTGGTCCTACCCAGGTTGGGGCAGGGGCAGCATAGGCTTCTGGGTAGTGCCAGGCAAGCCTCATGGTCAGCAGGGCATCCTCATAAAGCTGCAGTCAGTTGGCCTGCTCTGCAGCAGGACCCAGCCAATCAAGATGATGGTAGCAGATTGACATCTAGACGATGGCTGTGTGGGGTCACATGGGTACGTTGCTTATCTGATCCACATAACAGCACAAGGAGGTGGATCAGCAAAGTGGGTCAGAGCTCAGAGCTGGAGTCAGGTGGCCAGGGTTTGAATCTCAGCTCTGCCACTTACTGTCTGTGCAGCCTAGACGAGGTTATGTAACTTCTCTGTGCCATGGTCCCCCAACTATAAAACAAAGGTGGTGGTAATATTACCCTTTGCCAAGGGCTGATGTGTCTGGAGACTTAGTACATGTAAAGTGTTAACCCATACTTGCACAGAATGAGAATAGTATAAGTGCTTGCTGCTGTCATTGTTACAGGTAGGTCATTAGGATTATATGTATTTTCCAGAAAGAAACTCGACAGGTAAAATGCTTGTCCAAGGTCATGCTCCTACAAAGTGCTCTTCAGCAGTACCTGAACTCAGGTCAGACAGCATCCAAAGCCTCTTCTGTTAACTGCTAGACTACACAGCCAGAGCTCCAGCATAGTGTGGTAGGCTGTATCTAAGGAGATGGACTGTTTTTATCCCCACAATCTATTGTGAACAGATACATTTTTCGAATACAAAGTCAGGTGCTTGGATTGTCTCAACACTGTCAAATTGCGATGAAAGTCTCTGAATGCTTGCTTTGACTTTCTGAACTCAGCACCAGCCAGCCATGCTGTCTCCATTTCCAGATGGGCTCCCCCAGGCCTAGAGGTGTAGTAAGTATTCCAAGTCAGGCAGTAGTACTCACACTTGGAGTAATATTTCTCTAGGCCCTGGAGAAGGGCAAGGGGCCCACCTGGAAATGTAGACAGAAGTTCTGCAGAATGGGATGGATAAAGAACATTGAAGTCACGTTAGGGGAAGCCTGTGATCAAAGAGTTTGTACTCAGCAGGTGTCCAGGCCCAACCTACCTGACAGGAGTGCTGTGCCCCTTTTCAAGGTGAGGAACTTAGGGAAGGGCAGGGCCGAGCCAGGCCAGTGTGAGTAGGGTCACTACCCTGTGCTTTCTGGCACAGCTGATAGCACACATGGGAAGTAAAGTAACTCCACAAGAATAATCAAGAACGCATGGGAACACCAAAAACAAGCTGCTCTACCCATTGATCCTTTTTTTTTTTTTTTTTATTAATGGGACTGAGGAAAACATGCCTGCTAATGTTTTTGAGAAAACTGCTTTCATCATTCTCCCACTGGGGTTTAACAGTTACTTCTCCCTAACTGAAGAAACCCTCACCTCCCCTCTGTTGGCATGAAGCCATATGCCCCTGATTTGGGAGGCTGCATTTTCCACCTGACAGTAACAGCTAATGTTTCCTGAGTTCTTCCTGTATTTCAGTGCCTGGCCTAAGTGCTTTACACTTAATCCTCAAATCAACCTCCTGAAGAATGTACCATTATTAGACCTTTTTTTTTTTTTTTTTTTTTTTTTTTTTTTTTTTTTTTTTTTTTAGATGGAATCCTGCTCTGTTGCCCATGCTGGAGTGCAGTGGCACGATCTCGGCTCACTGCAACCTCTGCCCCTCAGATTGAAGTGATTCTCCCAAGTAGCTGGGACTACAGGTGCCTGTCACCATGCCTGGCTAATTTTTGTATTTTTAGTAGAGGCAGACTTTTGCCATGTTGGCCAGGCTGGTCTGAACTTCTGAGCTCAAGCCATCCACCTGCCTTGGCCTCCCAAAGTGCTGGGACTATAAGCATGAGCCACCAGACCCGGCCTTATTAGTCCTGTTTTACAGATGAGGAAACTGAGGTTCAAGGGAATTAAATAACTTAGGTCCACAGTAAGCAGTGGAATCAAGACTCTGCTGCCTCGAAAGTGCACACCTTCCTGCACCACACTACACAAGTCAAGCTTCATTTTCCTGGATTCTTTAGTGGAAGTTACATAGTTATCCCTAATAGAAATTGCTAATACAATATTACATGACTTCCAGTGTGACTGTGGTACTAACTCCATATTATGCTTAGGTCAGATCATCTTATAAAATATTTGACAATTTTTCCAATTTTAATAGCCCACCTATTCCAAGCAAATCCAGGACAAAAGAATACCATGAAGTGTACAATTTCTTGCGTTTCTATCAACTAGTTAAGTTATAGCTTAGGTGGCCACTGCTTATATAATAGGATTCACACATCCAAAAAATGAAAGATCAAAGGTTGTCTGTGGCTATATGCTCCTGGGAATGTCAGCAGTGACATGACCAAGGCCCACCTGGAGGCTGGTGATCAACTCTGAGCCTGGTCTGTGTCCACTGGTCCTTGAGCATTAACATTGGCCAGCAAGCACTGAGTGCTTTGTGCCAGGAAATCTTCTATGTGTTTTCTGTTTATTTAATTTTCATGACCCTATCCAAGATGTACTATGATTATCCCCATTTACAGATAGAGAAATCACATTTTTGAAAAGTCACAGAGCTGGTAAGTGGCAGAGCTGGACTTTGAACCCAGGCATGTTAGCTCCAGAGTCATGCTGTACTGCTGTGAGGATCCAGGCAGTAGGTGTTCCCAAGGTCCAGCCAAGACGTAGGCTTTGAGATATGGTTTGGCTGTGTCCCCACCCAAGTCTAAACTTGAATTGTAGCTCCCATGATCCCTACATGTCATAGGAGGGACCTGATGGAAGGTAATTGAATCATGGGGGTGGGTTTTTCCCATGCTGTTCTCATAATAGTAAGTCTCAAGACAACAGTGGTTTTATATAAGGGCAGTTCCCCTGCACTTTCTCTCTTGCCTGCTGCCATGTAAGGCGTGCTTTTGCTTTGCCACCTACCATGATTGTGAGGCCTCACCAGCCACGTGGAACTCTTTTTCTTTGTAAATTACCCAGTCTTGGGTATTTCTTCATAGCAGCATGAAAATGGACTAATACACTTGGCATACATGATATATAACTATAAATACGAGATTGGGTACAGTTTCATCCACTGTAATAGCAAATCATGGTTGATGTGGCAGAACCAACTAGCAGCACGTAGTCACCCACTAAATGTCACATCAGTATGCAGGACTGAGCCACTAAATTACTAAAGCCAGACCTGCAAGTGGAGTGGGTTCCTTTCAGGTAAGAGCATCGAGGGCTGAACACTTTGCACTGTTAAATATGATCTGTTAAATTTTCTGAAACCTACCATCTTTGTTGACTCACTAGGCCTAAAGCACAATGAGTCCGATGTCAGAAGAGAAGGCAACATGGGAGATACTGGAGACGGGGGTGGGCAAGAAGCGGCCCACAGTAGCAAGTGGCAGGTGGCGTGCAGACACAGGGCAAAGCATACAAGTCTTGGTGCAACTCCTGTCCCATATTTCACAAGAGTTCCAATCAAGTCTGTTTTAAAGCAGAATTCAATTGATGTATATAAATTATATGTTATTCATGGTAGGCCTGTAAGAAGCTCTACAGTCTGACCTACTTTGTGGTTCGTGTATCTAAGGTGCATGTTTCAGTGTCTCCTGTTCCCTTTGTAGCAAGATTTTCAAAGGGCCACTTGCATTTATTTTTAAGAGATGGGAGTCTTGCTCTGTCACCCAGGTCGGAGTGCTGTAGCATGATCATAACTCACTATAGCCTCAAGCAGTCCTCCTTCCTGAGCCTCCCTAGTAGCTGAGATTACAGGCATAAGCCACCACACCTGGTGTCCACACCTGGTGTCATTTATTAAGAACTGGAAGGCATCTGGACCTGTCTCCTTTTTCAATGCACACGAATAAAGAGAAGCTTAGAAGGGAAAGGCAAAGGGGAAATTATATCCATGGAGCATTTATTATGGGTAACTCAAATCGTAATTTTTGATGATAGGTAATTATATATACATCTTCATACCATGGGGCAGGTGATGCTGTCTTCATTTTATGATACAGAGGGAAAAATAAGGTTCAGGGTTACACAGCTGGTTAATGAATGAGATCTGTGCTCCATCTGAGGTGCTAAGTCTGTCCTAGCTTAGCCAGTGCTGTCCCTTTCTGGACCTGAGGACATAGATGATGCCATTCTGGATGGCTGTTGGCTCATAGGTTCTTTAGAAATTAACATGACAACTGAATGTTGATTTTGCTCTCATCATATAATTGACATTATTAAATTTAAAAGCCTCAAATGTTTGCTATTCAATATTTTATCAGTATTCTTACGAAATAATACATTAGATTTCTTTTATAGTTACAAGAAACCGAGTTAATTAGATTTGTACAATGAAAGAGACCTTAACCCTAGAAGAAATGGATACATTCCTGGACACATACACCCTCCCAAAGCTCAGGAAGAAGTCAAATCCCCGAATAGACCAATAATTTCTTCTAGATTTTCTAGTTTACTTGCATAGAGGTATTTATAGTATTCTCTAATGGTAGTTTGTATTTCTGTGGGATCAGTGGTGATCTCTCCTTTGTCATTTTTTATTTTATCTATTTGATTCTTCTCTCTTTTCTTGTTTAGTAGTCTGGCTAGCAGTCTATCATTTTCAAAAAAACAGCCCCTGGATTCATTGGTTTTTTAAGGGTTTTTCATCTTTGTCTCCTTCAGTTCTGCTTCAATTATAGTTATTTCTTGTCTTCTGCTAGCTTTTGAATTTGTTTGCTCTTGACTTCTCTAGTTCTTTTCATTGTGATGTTAGGGTGTTGATTTTAGATTTTTTCTGCTTTTTCCTGTGGGCGTTTAGTGCTATAAATTTCCCTCTAAACACTGCTTTAGCTGTGTCCCAGAAATTCTGGCACATTGTGTCTTTGTTCTGATTGGTTTCAAAGAATTTATTTATTTCTGCCTTAATTTTGTTATTTACCCAGTAGTCATTCAGGAGCAGGTTGTTCAGTTTCCACATAGGTGTGCAGTTTTGAGTGAGTTTCTTAATCCTGAGTTTTAATTGCACTGTGGTCTAAAAGACTGTTTGTAATTTCTGTTCTTTTGCATTTGCTGAGGAGTGTTTTATTTCCAATTATGTGGTCAATTTTAGAATAAGTGTGATATGGTGCTGAAAAGAATGTATATTCTGTTGATTTGGGGTAGAGAGTTCTGTCGATGTCTATG